AGGCCGAGCGCGTGCAGGCCCACCTGGGCACCGCATCACTCCTGGGCGTGGGCGGGAGCCCCGTGAAGCTTGGGCTGCGCAGGGTGGCACTGCATCCCCGGTACAACCCTGGCATCCTGGACTTCGACGTGGCGGTGCTGGAGCTGGCCAGCCCCCTGGTCTTCAACAAGTACATCCAGCCTGTCTGCCTCCCCCTGGCCATCCAGAAATTCCCTGTGGGCCGCAAGTGCGTGATCTCAGGCTGGGGTAACACGCAGGAAGGAAACGGTGAGTGGCACCCCCGGGGAAGATGGCCTTGTTCTCCAGGCCAGGCCCCGGCAGGGGGGATCACCTCTCTTCCCCGCGCCCTGGGCCCTGCCTGCTCAGAGGCCTGTGTCCACCCCCGGCCCAGCCCTGCTGGCTGCTTCTCTCCCTACACGTCCACATGCCCATTTGTGGAGGCTGACAGGCTCACAGTCCACAGCATTCATGCGGGTGCCACAGTGGCCAAGCTGAGCGGTGGCCACAGAGGCCGCCTGGGCTATGGAGCAGAAAACACTTAGTGTCTAACCCTCTATGGAGGAGCTGTGCTGGCCACTGCCACCCCATTCAGAGCTCCTGCCCCGAGTTGGCGTGTCCTTCAGACCCCAGGATGGCCTTCCCATTGGGGCAGTCAGAAGACAGGCCTGGGCTCTGAGCTGGGGGACGGGATCTGCCGCCGCCTCCCACAGGACTTTAGACCAACTGTGACGCTGTAGGCCCCATCTGTTCAACTGCAGCTTGGGGACAGCACTCCGTCTCAGGCCGTCAGCACTAGGCCAGGCAGTTGGTGGCCACTGACTGAGTGGCGTTTGGACTCTCCTTCTCGGCAGCCACCAAGCCCGACACCCTGCAGAAGGCCTCCGTGGGCATCATCGACCAGAAGGCCTGCAGCGTGCTGTACAACTTCTCCCTCACCGACCGCATGCTCTGTGCAGGCTTTCTGGAGGGCAAAGTCGACTCCTGCCAGGTGAGTCCGGGGAGGTCTCAGGCCTGGGGGACAGGAGGAGGCTCCGCGCCTTCCCCACTTGGCAGACAGCCCGTCTGCCTCCCCCTGGCCATCCAGAAATTCCCTGTGGGGTCTGGGCTAGGTGCCAGCCTCCTGGTGCGGGCTTGTGAAGCGCTCAGGCAAGGGGTTTTCCATGCAGGGAGCCTGGAGGCATTCCGGGTGCCCCTCCTAGGGGACTGGTTGGGCCGTGGGGTGTGGCTCAGTGGGAAGCACTTTCACAGCATGTACCAGGCCCTGGGGCCCATCCCTGGGGCTGGACAAAGATGAGTCAACAAAGCAAAGAATGAAAGAAAGGGCAGGGCAGTGGGGCCCACCTGTGATCCCAGAGGCTCAGAGGCTGAGGCAGGAAGATGGTGAGTTCAAGGCCAGCCTCAGCAACTTAGCAAGGCCCTGTCTTAAAATAAAAAATAAAAGGGCTGGGGACGGCTCTGTTTGGTTAAGCGTCTGGGTTCAGTCCCTGGTATTGAAGAAGAAGAAAAAAAGAAGGCAGCCGGGTGGGCACTACCTGAAAGGGGAACCCAGCCAGCCCTGAAGCTGGGCCCAAGTCCGGCCCACTGTCTCTGTCGTGCCTGGCAAACTGGGGGGACTGACTGAGCACGCCAGGCAAGGGCTCGACGGCGGAGCGACACACCCGGCTCTGCTCTTCCACTTTTCTTTGGGGTCAGGGTCTCACTAAGTTGCCCAGGTTGGCCTCCAACTTGAGATCTTCCAGCTTCAGCCCCCTGAAGAGCTGGGATGACAGGCCTGTGCCACTGCACGGGCATCTGGCCCAACCTGTTATCAGTGGTCACCCTGGACAAGTTACCCGACCTCTCTGGACCTCAGATTGTCATCTGATCATAGCAAAGCTGCTCTCTGAGAATCGCCGTGAGGACAGGCCTGCACAGTCATCTCCCACTTATCTTTAGGTCTATAACTACAGAACGAGTGCCCCACAATACTGCATCTATCTAGTCCACATATAAATGGTCAGCTCACGTGGGGCAGGAGGCCACCTTTGGCAGCCACAGTGCTGCCAGCCTCAGGCTCTTGGCGGCACAGTCCTTGGTGAGGCAGAGGGAGGGGCCGCAGCCAGGAGCAGGGGCTCATGGGGGGCAGGGGGCATGGCTGTTCTTGTTTTTTCCTGGAGATTTCTGCAGTTTTTATTTCTGCTGCAACAAAAGCAAGATCAATGCGGCCTGGAGAGGGCAGCAGCCAGGGCCAGCTTGGGGGCACTCACCAGGCCTGGCTCTGCAGCCAGGTCTCCTGGTGCCCAGGCAATGCCCAGCCCTCATTTGGCGGATGCTGGTTGGTGCTCTCCTTCAGGGCGACTCCGGGGGACCCCTGGCCTGCGAGGAGGCCCCAGGTGTGTTTTACCTGGCAGGGATCGTGAGCTGGGGCGTTGGCTGCGCTCAGGCTCAGAAGCCCGGAGTGTACACGCGCATCACCAGGCTGAAGGGCTGGATCCTGGACACCATGTCCTCAGGCTCCCCCAACACGCCTCCCCCCACCACCTCGAGGACGCAGGTCACTTCCAGCTGCCTCCCCGTCCCAGGGGTCACCACCAGCAGACCCACCACCCCCGGGGCCAGCATCAGGGCCACTGTCCAGCCTGCCGACATGACGGTGTCCGTCACAAGCTCAACTGCCAGGGGAAAGACACTGCCTCCAGACACCCCCGAGTCCACCACGCGCTCCCAGCTGCCAGGTACAGGGAAGTCGGTGGGAGCTGGCAGAAGGGGACAGCTGGAGCCTGCAGCACAGCGGCTTCCTTCTGAGCCCCCCCCAGCCTTCTCCCGTTTCTCCGCAGTCCTCACTGCACAGGCACTGGGCCACGCTATGTGCCAGGCTGTAATGGGGAGGGACTTCCATACGGGGAGGCAGTGGGGACCCCAGGACACAGCACTTGACATCAGGCTAGGGGTGGGGGGAAGACAAGCAAAGTGGAGATGTGGGGGCGTGGGGCAGCTGCTGGTGGAGGTGTGGGCTGAAGGGGACACTTCCACTGGACCCAGGCTGCCAGGCGCAGCAAGCCTGGGCCACGCGTGGCCAGGAGAGACCATTCCTTTGCCCTCTGCTCCGCGGCGGGAGCTGACTGTCACCAGAACCACAAGAAGCTGCAGTGTGAGAGTTGGGAATAAAGCCCCCCACCCCGTGCGCCCCCACAGCCTGGCTGCAAGCGTCCAGGAGAAGCTGCCCCCTGCAGCGCTGTCCTGGGGGCAACTGCACTGGGTGGCCCCGCTCAGCTAGTGAGCCCCACGCGGTCTGGGGGACGGTGGGGTGACCATCCACATGGGGCTGCGGTCCTGTCTGGGAGCCAGCGGGGGGACACTGTGCCCTCATCTCCTGCCTCAGTTTTCCCAGAAGCCCCACTGCACCCGAGCTCCCCGTCCCGCTGTCACCACGGGCAACCGGGGGTCTCCCCACCCCCAGACCAGGCCTCCAGCCCTCCCCCAGCACTGCCCTCCCCCCAGCTCCCGGGAGGCTGGGGAGGTCACTCCCAGGTCACTGCCTATCAGGGCTGTCATGACGGGCCTGGGGGCAGGTGGCCCTTCCCCCCACACGCACTTATACAGTACCCTGGACAAGTCTAATGGGGCCCACAAGGCCAGCAACACAGCCAGGGACATTAGCGTGGGCACAGCGAGGGAGTCTCTACCCGGGGGGTGGTTTGCCAGAGGGAGAGAGTCTCCTGCAGGCATGGAGGACACCCACTCAGCGCACACCAGTGTGGGTGGCCCTGGCCACAGCAGTCTGCCTTGCGAGGCAGAGCTAGGTCCTACCTCTGTGAAGACAAAGGACAGCGCAGTGCGGGTGGTCACAGCAGAGCCCTTATGGGAAGTCGGCGCCTGGGTGGAGAGGCCCCGGGGCGGGGTGGACGAGGCTTTGGACAGTGCCATCCTGGGAGTAAGAAGGCAGAGATGGCCTGGGGGAGGAGCATCTCTCACCCCACACACTGGCCTCTTGGGGCCCGGGCACTGACCTAGCTAACCTTTGCCCTCTCACTAGCCACAGCCTGGGAGGTCCTAACTGGGGTCCCCAAAGGGGCAAGGAGCTACCCTAAAAGGAGACCCGGCCCTCACAGTGGAGGCCACCTGCATTCCTAAGAAGAGGGGCAGTGCTTCCGCGAGTGTCTGAGGCCGGCAGGGAGCACCGCAGCCAGCCCTGCAGCCTGCCCCTTCTTTCTGTGGGGGACGCCAGCCCTTCCTTTCCTGGCCACCTTTGAGTTTGCTGAGGCAGGGACAGGACTCTCCCTAAGCGTTCAGGGCAGGGTGGCCACTTGGGTGGTGGGAGAGGGCCAGGGAAGGGGGTCTTGTCTTGCCAAGACAAAGTGCCCTGCAGGAAGTGGCTACTGGCCTAGGGGTGGTTCCCTGCAACTCCCAGAACCACCCTGTCCCGACTGTCATCCCCTTGGGGATGGGGACGATCACAGCCTGGGGGAAGGATCCTGGCAAAGAAGGGTGCACAGGGCACCAGGAACCACAGGGCTGTCCCCCAGGGCAAGAGGGGACTCAGTTACCATGGGCTCGAGACACATGCAGGTGGCTCCGGGATGGGCCCAGGAGGTGCTGCCCTAGGGCTGAGCTAACCAGGAACACGACTTCAAATGTCAGCAGACAGGCCAGAGGGCTCCCTGCAGGACCAAGAGCCAGGCCTAGCCTCTTGGGGCAGCCGCCCACTGCCCACCCCTCTGCCCCAGAGGTCCCCCTCACTGCTCACTTTGCCTCCCTGCAGGTTGTGGCCTGTCTCCTGCCAGAGCACTGGCCAGGATTGTGGGTGGCAGTGCCGCAGGTCGAGGTGAGTGGCCGTGGCAGGTGAGCCTGTGGCTGCGGCGCAGGGAGCACCGCTGTGGAGCCGTGCTGGTGGCAGAGAGGTGGCTGCTGTCGGCTGCACACTGCTTTGACGTGTGAGTCGGTGGCCCCGCACGCTGGCACTGTCCACACCAGTGCCTCCCCTTCTGGGCCGGGATGCCTGCCTTGCCATGGGCTTCTGCTGGCCAGGTCACCACCCCCCAGGGCATCCACTGGTCCACACCTGGCGCCGCAGAGCCCATGGGGGAATGTCGCACTCACTTCTTTCCCTCCCCTTCCACCTTAGTGCCCCTCCCCAAGAGGACCTCTCTCCCTGGCAGGGTGTTCAATGGAGGTGAATAGTGCTCCAGAGGGGACGCCCAGCTCAGGACACACCCCCCCAAGGGCCTTGGCATCAGAGGGGACAGGCAGGCCGTGGCAGGGGACCTCACGGCCCCCACAAACCCCCTTCAGAGTACCATTTTGAAAATAGGCCCACCCCGTGGTAGCAAACAGTGGCTGACCACGTTCAGGGTGTGGGTTCCCCTTCATCTAAAAGGGAGGGAGCACTCTGGCCCCATTTCCAGAGGAACTGCCCTTGGGCAGGTGTGGGGGCACGGGGACACCGCAGAGGCAGGGCTGTGCACCAAGATCTGTGCCAATGCCTGTGCTGGCGCATCCCACAGCTATGGGGACCCCAAGCAGTGGGCAGCCTTCTTGGGCACGCCATTCCTGAGCGGCGCCGAGGGGCAGCTGGAGCGCGTGGCGCGCATCTACAAGCACCCCTTCTACAACCGCTACACGCTCGACTACGACGTGGCGCTGCTCGAGCTGGCAGGGCCGGTGCGCCGCAGCCACCTGGTGCGGCCTATCTGCCTGCCAGAGCCCGCACCGCGGCCCTCCGAGGGCACGCACTGCGTCATCACCGGCTGGGGCTCCGTGCGCGAGGGAGGTAGGCACCGGGAGCAGGGTGGCGGGGCTGGGGGCAGCCGGCCAGGCGGGGTCCGCACCGACCCTCCCCCACTCCCCTCGCAGGCTCCATGGCGCGGCAGCTGCAGAAGGCGGCTGTGCGCCTCCTCAGCGAGCAGACTTGCCGCCGCTTCTACCCGGTGCAGATCAGCAGCCGCATGCTATGCGCTGGGTTCCCGCAGGGCGGAGTGGACAGCTGCTCGGTGAGCGCCCCCGGGAGGGCGGTCCCACTGCGACCCCACTCGGGCATCCTTCCCCAGGGTCTTGACCACAAGGATGGGCAGGCAGGGCGGAGGCAGCTGTGAAAGGGCCCGTCCACAAACACCCGCCAACAGTACCAATGGACCACCCTAGTGTGGCACCCATTTCCCAGATGAGTGAAGCTCTGAGGAAGCCACTCAGAGTCCTTCCTGTAGTGGTCAGTTGTTCAGGGGTGCCCAAGTCAGATGGGCCCTCCCGTGGCCTAAGGGCAGAGAGGGGAGAGATTGGCCCGAGTAACCCTCTTCTCTCCCACAGGGTGATGCTGGGGGACCCCTGGCCTGCAGGGAGCCCTCTGGCCGATGGGTGCTAACTGGGGTCACCAGCTGGGGCTACGGCTGCGGTCGACCTCATTTCCCAGGTGTCTACACTCGGGTGGCTGCTGTGAGAGGCTGGATAGGACAAAACATCGAGGAGTGACCACCATGTGGCTGTCCAAGCCCAGGACGTTAGACAGGGAGGAGGAAACACTGTCCACCCAGTCTGCAGAGAGGATGCTGGGTGCTGGGCAGGCAGGGAAGGAGGGAAGGGTATGGGGGGCACCTGGACTGTGTACTTTGTTCCAATAAACACAGCTTCTTGCCCCTGGCTCCGCACCTCCATGGCACAGGAAAAAACCTCATCCCTCCTTTCCCAAAGGTGCAAGGGAGGGAAATAAGCCCTAGAGAGAGGGGCAGCTCCCTTACCTGGCTGTGGGCCTCACCTGTGGTGTTTGGCAACGCCTCCCATGAGCCAGCAGCCCAGAAGCAACAAGGGGAAGCGGATGCCCCCACGGAAGCTGAGGTCCACTCTGAGCAGGGCGCTCAGAGGCATACGGCTTCTCCTCCCACATAACCCTCAGGAAGGAAATTCATGGGATTTTCTGTCCCTCAGTCAGCAATTTATTGGCCCATCCTCAAGAGACCACAACTTGAGTGGGGCCTGACCACCTCCCACTGCACAAGAGGTCCAAACAAAGGATTCTCGGCCCAGGAAAGGCGGCTGCCCTAGGTACTCCGAGAGAGAGGCCGTGGACTCCCAGGCCTTGGGAAGGGCACAGACCCAGGTTGCACTCGCTGGCAGAGGCACACCTCAGCTGTCCCTGCACTGCGCCGCCCTCATAGACCATGGGCAGTATGCACTCGTTGGCTCCCGCCTCGGAAAGCACGTTGATGGATATGAAACCGGGTGGGCGACTCCCGTGGGTGGACTCCCCGGATGGTGACATGCCTCCTGATTACATATTGGCTCGTTCCCGCTGCAGCCGCGAGTTGTAGGCGCGGGACACGGTGTTCCAGGCGTCCATATAGCGGTCCATGCACATGGCGATGCACTTCTGGGGTCGGGGAGAGGACGCAAGGCTCGGTTCTGGCCGTGTGTGCAGCGGTTCACCCGCCCCAACTCTAGGCCACAGGGTTGCAACGGCGCACGCGCAACAGCTCCAGGCCCCCACCCCACGCATGCGCAGACGCCTCGCCACCCGCGGCGGGACCCGGAGATCCCTGACCCAGACCCCCGCATGGGGTCTCACCTGCTCCGAATTGTCCAAGGAGCCACCCGGCTTCCCAATGCACTTCCGGAAACACTTGTCGGTCATCCTCTGTGGACATACGGGAGGCCTCAGTCGCGACGCTACTCCGGGGCACCCCCAACCCCGGCCCCGCGGGCCCCGTACCTGAAGCAGCTCCTGGGCGTTGGCCACGGCAATCTGCACCTTCACCTGCTCCATGATGAGCCCCGGGTCCAGCTTCCCGCCGCCGGAGCCCCCGAAATCCGAGCCGAAGCCGCTCTCCATGGCTTCGCAGTCCACCCGGCCGCGGCCGCGCGCGCCGACCCACAGCCGCCGGAAGCCGGGCCGCTCAGGGCACCACGGGAAACGGAGCCCGCACCGTAACTCCCACAAGGCCGCGCGATTCCTACGCGCACGCGCGGGGGCCTAAGTCCCGGCGCCGCTCCGCGTCCAGGCCCCGCCCCGGCCCAGCGCGCGTGCGCACCTCGCGGTGGGCCGTCAGCCGAGCCCCGGGGGCCGGGCGGGAACCGGTCTACAAACAACCAAGAGGAGGTCTGCGCGGCGGGCGGAGTCACGACAGACGCTCGCCTCGGTGGGCCCGACTCTGCGCTGGTTAAAACCAGTGTTTATTGGAGAATCGTACAAAAGTCACTGGTTACAAAATGTGCGTCGCAAACTAGTGGAAGGGGACAGCAAAGCCGCACATTCGACACGCAGCTCAAAACCCAGCCACGCACGCCAAAGGGCCCGCGTCTCCCGGAGGCCACGGCCCCAGCCCCAGAGGGCGGGGCCAGCTGTCTCCCGAGAGTGGTGGCCAGGTCCGCCGGGGGCTCAGCTACAGACCACCTCCCGTTGGCCTGGGGTGGGCATTGGGCCAGTCACGCACCTGGGCTCCAGAAGCCCAGGACTCTGCCTGGCGCCCACCCCCTCGGGCGGCCTGCTCCAGCAGGCGGCCCTGACAGGCAGTGAGGCCGGCAGCGCGGGGCCACAGCAGGACAGGCAGTGGTGCTGAGCACGGACAGCAGCCTGCCCTGCCTGGACCTTGCGAGGAACTGTCAGTGGTCACCACATGTGTGACCAGGGGCTTCTGAAAACAGGAAAGCTGGACGGCTCCGGAGCAAGGATGGCGGCGGCACTGGTGCTCTCCCTGCCTGGGGCTCAGTTCCCAAGGGCAGCCAGAGCCAATGACCAGAGAAGCACCACACCTGTCCAGACTGTAGGGCAGGGCTGTTTTGTGTCCCACCGCTACTTTCTGGGGACAGTGCATGAACGTGGCTCAGCATCAGTGTCTGAACTCCAGCTGCACTTTCCGAGGGAGGTCAGCCATGTGAAAGACTGGGTGCTCATGGAGACAGGTCCCCCACCCCATGCCATCCCTGTCCTGGTGGCCCTGGCAACCTGCATACTCACAAATGTAGAAAAATAAATATCCATTAAAAAAATAACATGTGCCTATGAGGGAGTAGGTGAGTGTGACTGTAGAAGGGGCTGCTGGGTGGGCAAAGCCAGGCGTGGGACTCGGGCCATGGAGACAGGAGTCCATCTTCACCTGCATGTCTGAGAAACATTTCTTCACAATTCACAAGCTCCGGCATGGATGCGTGCGCATGGGAGGCAGCAGGGGCCTCCCCCCCAGACTCTGGCCAGGATGGAGACCCACGCTCCTCTGGGAGGGCTGGGAATCAGCTGTCATGCACTCAGCTTTCTAACACTCATGACCTTTGCTCCCGAGGTCAGCAGTGTTGACCAGTCTTGGGAGCGTCCTCCTTTCCTGCCCTGCTAGCCCTGCAGGATCAGGGTGGCAACTGGAAAGCTTCAGAATTGAGGCCCAGAAAGCCAGGTCAGAGTCCCAGCCTGCTGCCCACAATAGGACGGAGGCCAGACCAGCCCTGCAGGCCCTGGCTATGCCAGAGTGCGCCCCCAGCCCCAGCCAGCCCCTACTTCAACGCACTCAACGCAAGGATGGCTTCCGGGTGGCTGAAGTGGAACCACCAAATCTTGATGTGACAGTGACAGTGCCCCCCCCAACCAGGTCACAACCTGGATTCTGAATTTGGTCTTTAAAAAGCGTTCAAGAAATCCTGTAGCTATAGAATCCCTACACAGTTTCACATTCTGTCCACCCGGGCCCGAGGGGTGGTTTCTGTCCCTCCTCAGGCCAGGTCTGCCACTGAGGCAGAGGCGGCCCTCCACAGCACCCAGGTGCAGCCCCTCAGCCCCCAGGGTCCCCGGGGGTGGAAGGCAGTGGAATGGCGGGGGTGGGAGTCTGAAGTGGCAAGGTGTGCCCAGGTGAGGTCAAGGTATGCTGACCCGCGTGAGTTGGCAGTTTGCTTAAAAATCAGCTAGAAACAGACCAAAGACTAAGGAAAGCCAATGATAGAAAAATAGTTTTCAGTGGCTCTGGGAGAGGAACAGTGTGCAGATGCCGAGTGCTCGGTTACATCAGGCAGCAGCCCCTCGAGGTGGTCCGTGGGTCCCCCTGGGAGGAAGGAAGCAAGGGTGGCAGTCATGAGGCCCATCCCGGGAGGCAGGCCTGGCTGGGCTACCGGTCCCTATTTCTAGAACCTTCCATCCCTCCACTTCCCTGAGCTACACACGTCCATGTCCCAAACCAGAGATTTTAAACGAGCACTAACTTGGCTGCGACTCTGGTGCCAGGCATTCTGCAGGCAACTGGCACCTGAGCCAGGGGACATGAGACACCATGTCTTGGGGACCCCACAGCCAGCTGCCCTGATGTCACAGAATTTGCACAGCGGGAAGGAGGCAAGAATACCACCCCAGCCCTGCAGCCCAGCAAACGTGTGAGTGAACACATACGTGTACCCAGGTGCTCTGCCCAGGCAGCAAGTGGGCACAGGGTCACTACCTGCTGGTGGAAAAGATCCTCCTCGCCAAACTCGGCTTCCTCTTCCTCTTCCTCCCCATTCTCGTTCTCTCGCACCACAGAAGACTGCTTCACTGCTCTTGTGGCCACTTCCTGCACCAGATGAGGACCACCGACACTCAACACTGAGGCCGGAGTGTCCCGTGTGGCAGGGTCACTGCTGGGCTGCAGCCTCCGTACTGCGGGTATGGCCCCGGGCTCCACCCCACCAAAGGCTCACACCCACCTCTCCATCGGCGTTGACCAGCACAGTGCGGAAACTCTCGCCCGAGCCCCAGCTGCTCTGGCTCTTCCACACCAGGGTGGCGGGGGGGCTGTGGGCCACCCCGGCACCAGCTGCCCACACCTGTCAACCCAAGAACGCCCTGCTCAGTCTTCTGGATCTGGATGTGGACAGCACCTGGTGCCCAGCCTGAGGCCCTTCAGTGCCCGAGCACTGCAGCCTCACTTGGGCTTGCTCATGGATGGGGGTCCCCCGTGCCCACCAGCCCAAACAGCCAGGACTCAGCCCTGGCACCTCTCCACGACCCACAGCTGACCCTGGGGCAGAGCTGGACCCTGCAGCACCCAGCCGAGGCCGCTGCCAGCCTCCCACCTGCCCCTCCCTGATGCACCTACCGTGACTGTCTGGCCGGCCCGCAGGACGTACTTGGGTGTGAACTTATAGGCGATCTCATCGCCCTCGAGGACCTGCCTCTTGATCCTCCAGTTCCCCAGGGACTGATCCTGGAAGGGACACAAACACACAGGTGACCCGCAGGCCACCAGTACGCGGCACAGGGCTGTGCCCTGCCTAGCAGCTCACCTTGTCCGAGTTGTTCTTGAGCCGCACGAACCTGCCCTCCAGGTCAATCTCCTCGATGCTGACGCTGCCAGTGGCCGAGGCCTGCTGGGCCAGGCGGAAGCTGCTGCTGCTGCCCGAGCCAATGCTGCCCGAGCCAATGCCACTTGAGCCGCTGCCTGGGGGCTCCTCCGCCTCCAGACGCCGGCGCTTGCTTCGGCTTGAACGCCCAGCTGTGGACATGCTGCTGCTGCTGCTCGAGGTGGCCCGTGAGATGGTGACCCGTGAGGAGGGGCTGGGAGACAGCTTCAGCCTAAGGGTAGTGTGGAGAGGTATGACTGGTGGCCCCCGAAAACGCCAGGCCCAGGATCCGCGACCCCCTGCTCCTGCTGCCCACCTCTCCTCCTCGCCCTCTAGGAGCTTGCGGTAGGCGCTGATCTCCATGTCCAAGGTCAACTTGACGTCCAGCAACTCCTGGTACTCGGCCAGCTGTTGCTGCATCATATCACGCATCTCCATCATCTCCTGCTCCTTGGCGTCCAGCATCTTCCGGAACTTCTCCCGCTCCCCAGTCATGGCCCCTTCCAGCTCTCGGATGCGGTCCTCAGCAGCACTGGCCTGGGAGGGGCAGGTGGCCAGGTCAGCCCAGCCTCTTCTGGGGCTGCCCCTGCTGGGACAGCAGGTGAGCAGGCCCCCCAGCACAGTGGGGACAGAGGCTGGGCTGTAGAACAGGCTCCGGAGCTGGCCCGGTCAGCGCTCAGCACTCAGGGCTGCCCCCGCCCAGCCCGGCCCCAAGGCAGGACACAGGACACGGGCCTCACCTGCTTCTGGAGGCTGGAGAGCTGGTAGCTGAGGGACTCGACCCGCATGCGGGCCTCCTTCAGCTCCTCACGGGCAGCACTGGCCGCCTTGTCATTCTGGTCAGAGCTCAGCTTGGCGTGGTCCAGCTAGGAGAGACGGGAGGTGAGTCCGGGGATGGGGAGATGGGGAGGTGAAGCCAGGGGCGGGGGGTCGGGGGTCGGGGTGCGGGCCGCACCTTGGCCTGGTAGGTCTGCTCTAGCTCCAGGCGGTACAGCCGCACGTGCTCGTCCTGCTGGCTGCGCAGCTCCTCCAGGGCCTGCGCCAGGCGCACGTCGTACTCCTGCTGCCGGCCGCTGTCCACCTCCACCAGGCGCCGCTCGTGCCGCCGCCGCGTCTCCCGCACCTCCTGTGTGGCGACAAAGCCCGTGGTCCTGCAGCACTGTGGCTCTGAGGTGGCCACCGAGAGCCCAGGAGGAAGGCAGGGGCCCAGGGGAGCGGCCCACACCCTGCTGTGCCCACGCCCCTGTCCCACACCCCAAGCGCAAAGCCCGAGTGCTGAAAAGTGCCTCTCTCAGGTCCAAGGCCAAACCCTGGCTCATGGGAAATAAAAACAGAGCTGGGGTGCGGCTCGCTATGGACTCCCCAGAGCCCGTCTCTCTCACACCAACCTCAGAAGCTCCAGGCGTCTCCCTGCTAACCACCAAAGAGTGGACACAGCCCAAATGGGCATGGGTGGACGAAGGACCACGGTGTGGCCCTCCACCTGGAGCGTCACTCAGCCACAAGCAGGAGCCAGGTGACACGGCTGCACTGCATATGGGCCGAGGACCTGGTGCTGAGAGCCCGACAGACAAGTGACAGAGTCAGACGGATGTGGACTCGTAGGCGCTGGGCTACGAGGGATGGGGGATGCTCATGGTCTGGCTTCCTTTTGGACTGATGGAATGTTCTGGAATTAATGGGAAGAATTGATTCTAAAAACACTAATTCTACACTTTTAAAAAAGGTGAACTTTATACCACCTGGGGATCACTTCTCTTTAAAGTCGTTCTTTGACAGTACAACAGACTGTCGGCTGGGCTCAGCGGTAAGGAGCTGGCCTAGCACACGAGGCCAGAGCCATGCCCGCATCCCGCTGCCTCCGAGGCTGAGGCAGGGGATGCAAGTTCCAGGCCATCTTGAGCCACTTCCTGAGACCCGGCTGGGGGATGGCCGGGATGGGACGATGGCAGCAGGCCCAGCCAGGCATCTTCGCTGGCCACACCAGGAGACCTGCCCGGGCACAGGGTCGGAGCCCTGGGGGCTGCCGGCCTAGAGGGACCGTCTGAGGGCACCCGGGCAGACACCCACCTGCACCCGGTGTGCCCGCTCCTCGGCGCCCCTCCTGCGGGGGCCCTTCCCGGGCGTCTCCCCGGGTGTCTTGGCGGCTCCCCTAGGGGGTCTCTTTGTGGGCCCCCTCACAGGTCCTCCCACAGGTCTCCTCAGCGGATCCCGCAGGGGGATCTTCCCAAGGCCCCTCAGGAACCTCTTCACTGCTTCCCTCAGGGGTCTCTTCACGGGTCCCCTCACGGGCTCGGGGTCCCTCATGGCTTTCTTCCCGGGTCCCCTCACGGGCTCGGGGTCCCGCATGGCTTTCTTCACGGGTCCCCTCACGGGCTCGGGGTCCCTCATGGCTTTCTTCCTGGGTCCCCTCATGGGCTCGGGGTCCCGCATGGCTTTCTTCACAGGTCCCCGTAAGAGCTCGGGGTCCCTCATGGCTTTCTTCACGGGTCCCCTAAAGACTTCAAGGTCCCTCATGGCTTTCTTCACGGGTCCCCTCACGGGCTCAGAGTCCCTCATGGTTTTCTTCACGGGTCCCCTCACGGGTTCGGGGTCCCTCATGGCTTTCTTCACAGGTCCCCTCACGGGTTCGGGGTCCCACATGGCTTTCTTCACAGGTCCCCGTAAGAGCTCGGGGTCCCTCATGGCTTTCTTCCCGGGTCCCCTAAAGACTTCGGGGTCCCTCATGGCTTTCTTCCCGGGTCCCCGTAAGAGCTCGGGGTCCCTCATGGCTTTCTTCACGGGTCCCCGTAAGAGCTCGGGGTCCCTCATGGCTTTCTTCCCGGGTCCCCTCAAGGACTCAGGGTCCCTCATGGCTTTCTTCACGCGTCCCCTAAAGACTTCGGGGTCCCTCATGGCTTTCTCCACGGGTCCCCGTAAGAGCTCGGGGTCCCTCGTGGCTTTCTTCACGCGTCCCCTCACGGGTTCAGGTTCCTTAAGGGGTTCCCTTGCAGGATCTCTCACTGGCTCAGGGTCCCTCACGGATTCCATCATGGGTCCCCTCACAGGATCTGTCACTGGCTCAGGGACCCTCACAGATTCCTCCTTGGATCCTCTCACAGCCTCAGGGTCCCTCACGGATTCCATCGCGGGTCCCCTCACAGCCTCAGGGTCCATCACGGGTCCCCTCACAGCCTCAGGGTCCCTCACGGATTCCATCACGGGTCCCCTCACGGCCTCAGGGTCCCTCACAGATTCCTCCATGGGTCCCTTTACGGGCTCAGGGTCCCAGATGGATTCCTCCATGGGTCCCCTTACGGGCTCAGGGTCCCAGATGGATTCCTCCATGGGTCCCCTTACGGGCTCAGGGTCCCAGATGGATTCCTCCATGGGTCCCTTCATATGCTCAGGGTCCCTGATGGATTCCTCCATGGGTCCCCCAACATGCTCAGGGGCACTCACAGATTCCTCCAAGGGTACCCTCAAATGCTCAGGGTCCTTCACAGATTCCTCCACGGGTCCCCTCACAGGCTCAGGGTCCCTCATGGATTCCTCCGCGGGTCCCCTCACAGGCTCAGGGTCCCTCATGGATTCCTTCGCGGGTCCCCTCACAGGCTCAGGGTCCCTCATGGATTCCTTCGCGGGTCCCCTCACAGGTGCCTTGAAGGGTTCCTGGGGGGATGTGGGTCCTCCCTCAGGTCCCCTCCTGGGCGTCTTGAGGAGTCCAGGCCCCCTCGTGGCTCTCTTCACAGGCCCCCGCATGGGGCCGCCTCCCACGCAGGCCTGCGTGGTGACTGGTACCCTCGCTGGGCCTGGCCGGAGCCGGGCACGGTCCCTCAGCTGCACGGGCATCCCTTCCTCTGGCAGGTCTTCCCGGCAGTGACCAAGTGGCCCCGCCCGGCCCGGCCCAGCCCAAGGATTCCACGGGCTGTGACAACACAGTGGGCTCTGTGATGGTGGCGTCTGCAGAATCTGGGGGGGCCAGGCCCTGCACCCCGGCCCCACCCCAGAGGACACAGGAGCCTGGCTGATCTGCCTGAGGCCCCCTGTCCCCAGTGTCCTAAGAAGCCAGGAACCACGTTAGGAGGTGGTGGGGAGGGAGCAGGTGGCTGGGCGGGGAGAGGGGCCCTGGGGTGGGTGAATGGTGGCCCCCAAAGACGTGTGCGCGTTCCGACCCCCAGGGCCTGCGCCGTGCCTTGGGTGGCAAGAGGTCTCTGTGCAGGACCCAGGCAGCAGGTGGGTTCTGGACCACTCGGGGCCGCAGTGCAACGACAGTGTCCTTACAGAGCGAGGCGGCGGCCGGGGCGGGCGGACTCACCTCCTCGAACACGCTCCTCTGGAAGTCCAGCTCCTCCTGCAGGCTCTGGCAGCGGTTCTCCAGGTCCACGCGCATCAGCGTCTCCTTCTCCAGCTGCTTCTTAGCCACCGCGTGACCGTCCTCGGCCTGGGACAGAGTGGCGGCTGAGGACGTGCTGGTTGCGCTCCCACGGAGCCCCGGCCCCGGGAGCTGGGCCTACCTTGGCCAGCTGGGCCCGGAGATCGGCCGCGTCGCTCTCCAGGCCGCGCTTGTCACTGAGGGCGGCGGCCAGCTCCACCTCGCTCCGGTGGAACAGGGACTCCAGGTCCTTCACGCGGCCCTGGGCCACCGAGAGCTCGCCTTCCCTCTTGCTGGCACTGCAGGTCAAGAGGCCAGGTGAGCCAGGGGACAGCGTGGCCGTCTGCCATGAGGAGGCCCTCGGCTGAAGGGGCCAGAGGGGCCACAGTCACAGGGGACCTGGCCCTGGCCTAACCCCCACGGGACACGCCGTGCCTCTCAGGGCTGGTGGCGGGCAGGTCACACAGAGTGGTCCCCACCACTGGAAGCAGTGGCACTAGTGTCCTTTCCTGGGAGTTCTGGGCTGAACGGGGAGTTCACGGGAACGGGGGACACGGGGTCTTGCTGGCGCCTGCCTGGCTTGGACATCAGGCAGCGAACACCAGACCTCAGACACGGGAGCGCCTGTGGCTTCTGAGGGCTCTGGGGACACCCCGGCTGCGCATGGCTGTGGGGAGGAGCCACTCTCACACCGTGAGCCACCAGGGACCCCTCCTGGGTCTCTGCTCAGAGGCCACGGGAAGCCACGCTAGGAGGGAGGCCGGCCCTGGGGACGGTGGGGCTGGCCTGCAGGATGGAGCCGGGCCAGGCGGCCAGGAGCAGAGGAGTCGGGTCTGGAAGGGCAGGTCCCGCAGCCTGCTGCAGAGAGCAGGGTTCTGGCCATGGCGGCAGCAGCCCCTCTGAGCACCAAGGGGCTGACGCAGCTCCAACCAGATGCAAGAGCTTCCTAGGGCCACCAGGAGCCGGGCCCACTGGTGGGGTCCTCCGTGAGGCCACCTGCCTTTGTCACCATGGATCTTTGGCAACTGATTTGTTAGCAGAAGAAAAACACCAGACCAAACCTGTTAGGAAGGTGACTGAGTTTGGGGACAGTGACCAGATGAGTCGTGATCACTGAGGGAAGCTGGGCATAAAGCTTGAGGAAACTGCGGTCAGGGAACGGACACCCAGGTCAGAGGTCAGAAGTGAGGCCCAGGGTATTTACTATTTGAAAGCAATTTTTTCCTCCAAATTAAGGTGAACTTCACATACTATAAAACTCAGTGTTGCTGCTGCAGTGCTGGGGACAGAATCCAGGGCCTCACGCACACCAGGCAAGGGCTCTGTCACTGGGCAGCACCCTGGGCCAAGATTAGAGGTTGAAGTGGACAGTCCGGGGGCCATGGGGTGGCTCCCGGGTGGTGCAGACCCCTCCAGTGTGCACCACGCAGCCCCTAGGAGTTCCCGAGTGCCCAGGGCAGAACCAGGCCTTGCAGGCTGGGAAGGGGTCTCCCCCTGCCACACCCAGTCCTTCTGTCTTAGGGGCTGGCCTAGACTCTGTGACCCTCCAGCCTCAGCCTCCTGAGTGGCTGGGATGACAGGCATGGCCACTGCACCTGGCTCAAACCTGCTTATTAACCACAAAGCAGGCTCCCTGGAGGTGGGCAGCTTGATGGCCGCCCAGAGTCCACCTGGGGTCAGCTGCCAGCTGAGGGACGGGTGGGATACCAAATGGAACATGCAAGGTCCAGGTGCTCTGTCCTTGCTCATGCCTGAACTCTGGCTCGTGGTCACTGGGAGGACTCAGAAGGTCCCTTGGAACCCTGGTTCCTGGGCAGGAGGGTGAGGAGTGCCTGGGCCAACCTGGAAGGTGACCTCTCCTGGCAAAGGGACACCATGAGGAGTAGGACCGCCCACATACCACTTACGGGGCCCAGGCACCACTGGCCACGAGGCCCCCGGTGACGACCTGGGCTACAGTTCAACCTGGACATAACACGGGCTCTCAGGCCACCAGCTGCCTACCCCCAAACCAGGTGGATGACTTACCACCAATTCTGGGGACACCCAGATGAGCAACCCCCTCCAGGAGGCCACATGACCCTCCTACCAGCAGGGAGCAGCAGAAGCCCACAAGTGCCTCTGAAGCTGACCCAGGCCTGGGG